ATCCCTTGCCCCAGACTGAGAGTTCCAGTCTATACCTTGTGGCTAACAGCCACCGATGAACCTCTGCTCCATATAAGAACCTAAGAGAAGCCAATGTTGGGTCAGGCCAATGGCCCATCCAGTCCAACACTCTGTGTCACACAGTGGCCAGAAATACCAGGGGCCACCAGGAGGTCCAGCAGTCCTCCCTTGAAAGCCCTGTCTGGTTGCCATATGTTGGCTTCAACTGGACACCCCATTACACACTCAACCAGCAAATCTGATCCAAAGGAAGAATTTTGTTTCAGTTCCTCAATTACAACTTACTTCATGGATCTGAAAAGTGTCTGGGGATGTTACCCTAAATCAGCTGCCCTCCTTGCAGAGAATCCTAGGATGTTTCATCTGAACACTTTTGATCATTGCGAAGTATCCATTTCTAAATTTTTTGCCATCGAGTTGCAGCCAGCTTATGCGGACCCCATAGCAGAGGTCATTTCGGGGGGGATTGCGGGGGATCGCAGTTCCCCCGGGTGAGGTACGGGGGCGGGGCACATGACGAAGCCCCGCCCCCTGCTTCCGGCCCTCATTCAGCCAGGAGGAGGCAGGAGAAGAGGGAGGGTAAGTTGCTTCCTCCCTGCCTCTCCCCACCCCTGCCTGCCTGGGGCCAGGGAGGGCCTTCGCGGGGCTTCCTTGCACTCCCGCTGGCCTTGCAGGTCCACTGCCGGGCCCCTCATGGGGCCCGGCAGTGGAGCTGCAAGGCCGGTGGCGGCAGCCGGGACCGTTGGGGGCGGGGGGTGTGGCCTTATGACACACTTCCGGTGATGTCAGGGGGGGTGGCCTTACGACACACTTCCGGTGATGTCAGGGGGTGTGGCATATGCTAATGAGTTATGCTAATGAGTTCCCCTAGCTCTTTTTCTACGAAACGACCCCTGCCCCATAGCATTTCAAGGCAGACATTCAGAGGTGGCTTTCCATTGCCTGCCTCTCTGCAGCAAACTCTGGCCTTCCTTGGTGGTCTCCCATCCACGTACTAACCAGGGCTGACCCTGCTGAGCTTCTGAGATGAGGCTAGCCTGGGCCACTACTCTACACAGAGAGCGATTCAAATGTGGAATTCACTGCCAGAGGATGGAGTGATGGCCACAGGAATAAACAACTTTCAAAGGGGATTAGATAGATTCATGGAGAATAAGTTTATCGATGGCTACTAGCCATGGTGACTGAGGGGAACCTCCATGTTCAGAGGCACTAAACCTCTGAATCCCAGAGCCGGGAGACAAAATCAGGGGAAGGCCTCGGCCTCCATGCCCTGTTGCTGGCACCCCAGAGGAACTGGTTGGCCACTGTGTGAGGCAGGATGCTGGACGAGATGGACCACTGTTCTGATCTAGCAGGGCTCCTCTTATGTTCTTATGAAGGCCTCGGCCTCTATGCCCTGTTGTTGGACCTCCAGAGGACCTGGTTGGCATGATACTGGACTAGATGGACCACTGGTCTGATCCAGCAGGGCTCTTTGTATGAAGGGCTTGGTCTCTTTGGCCTGTTGTTGGCCGTCCAGAGGAACTGGTTGGCCACTGTGTGAGACAGGATGTGGGACTAGATGTACTATTGGTCTGATCCAGTGGGGCTCTTCTTATGTTGTCATGAAGGCCTCGGCCTCTATGCCCTGTTTGCTGGCCCTCCAGAGGAACTGGTTGGCCACGGTGTGAGACGGGATGCTGGGCGAGATGGACCACTGGTCTGATCCAGCTGTGCTCTTCTTATGTTCTTACCAAGGTCAGGGCAAGTATCCATGTGCTCACAGGAAATTCTGAATGTGTTCCCACCCCTGCCCACCCAGTCGATGGATGACTGTACTGACCTTTTCAAGGAATATACCTACTTAAACCAGCATCGGTCACTTTGTTTACGCCAGGTTAAGGAATTTAGAGGAATGTGGAGTGGTATGGTATAGTGTTTGGGTGTTGCGGGTGTCATCCCTTCAGTCATGAAAGGGTTAAGCTGATGTTTCTGTGAACTGGTAAACAAGTTTAGCATAGGGCCAATTAGGTGTCGAGTAGACTTTTCCCACCAGAAAGGGGAAGGTTTTATTCTTACTGAGGTGACCTTAAGATTGACTATTGGCTATTCAAAATATTGGAGATAGTACACGCTATTCTGCACATATGCAAGGGGTGGCGTTTTGGGGGGAGACTTTCAACCCTGTGTTTTTGGGGGATCACACACATACATGCACACACACGCGCGCACACACAGAAAATGGAGTAGAGCTGGAAATATGAGTTAGTTAGGTTGTTGCTGTTTTCCTTCCATGTAACCCTTCCCTGATTTTTATAGTAAACGTTTCCTTAGAAGCCAAACACACACGTCTGATGATTATTCCGCTATGCTTTATTCGCTCTGCTAAATATCCAACATATAGCCTGATCTCGTCAGATCTTGGACGCTAAGAAGAAGAGATTGGGTTTATACCCCACCCTTCTCTCGGAGTCTCAGAGTCGCTTACAATCTCCCTTCCCTTCCCCTCCCCACAACAGACACCCTGTCAGGTAGGTGGGGCTGAGAGAGCTCTTTCAAGGACTGCTCTTGAGAGAACAGCTCTGAGAGAACTGTGACTGGCCCAAGGTCACCCAGCAGCTGCATGTGGAGGAGTGGGGAATCGAACCCGGTTCTCCCAGATTAGAGTCCACGTTCTTAACCACTACACCAAACTGGTTCTAGGATTGGTTCTAGGACGGAGGACTCCAAAAGAAGACTGCAGAGGAAGGCAATGGTAGAACTCCTCTGCTTCTTGCTTGCCTTGGAAGCCCCTTGCTGGGGTCGCCATAGGTCAGTTGCAACTTGAGGGCACTTACATACATAGGGGGTGGCCAGTCTTTTTACTAGAGTGAACTCCACTGGTGTGATTCCTCCTGAATGGCATTCTAGTATAATTTCCCCAATCCATAAAGCTGGAGATAAGGGCAGTCCTAAGGACTTAGGGCCGCGGTGGCTTAGAGGTTAAGACGCTGAGCTGCAGACTGGAAGGTCGTTCGTTCGGCAGTTCGAGACCCGAGTGTGCCGCATGACGGAGTGAGCTCCCGTCTCTAGTTCCAGCTCCTGCCAACCTAGCAGTTCGAAAGCAAGAAATTGCAAGTAGATAAATAGGTACCACTTCAGTGGGAAGGTAACAGCGTTCCGTGCGCCTTGGTGTTCAGTCATGCCGGCCACATGACCACGGAAATGTCTTTGGACAGCGCTGGCTCTTTGGCTTTGAAACGGAGATGAGCACCACAATCCTAGAGTCGGATTCGACTGGC